TGCTGAGCCCTAGTGCCCCCTTTCCACCTTTCTGGCAGTTTCTGCGTCCCTGCTCGTGGCAGCATCTCCCCTTCCTTCCTCTCTTCGCGCTCTGCTGCCCGCAGACATCCCCGCCTCCCTGTCTCTGTGAGCCTCTAATGAAGAAGTAATCGCAACGCGGGTGTTGACGGCCCACGCGCCGCTTGTGGGGCGCTTTCCGAGTTCAGGGAAGTGGAGCGTGGAGGCCGTTCTCTTTGTGAACGCAGCGGCCGCCGCCCCGCGCTTCCCGGGCGCCCGGGGCGCGCTCCCCTCGCCGCTGAGCTTGGGCCCGGCGGGGCGAGGGCGGCCGGGGCAGCGCTCTCAGGCTGCGCTCCCCGGGCCCCTGCGCCCCCAGGCTGTGAGGGGGAAGGACGGCGGAGGGGACGCCTTGGACTCGCAGGTTTCCACCAGCGCGGCCCGCAGCGCGTCGAGTCGATCTTCTTATCCAACCCATTTTCCTCGCCCTCAGTTTAAAGGCCAGAGTTGAGCTATTCCTTCCCTTGCCAGTGGCTGCCCCATCCCGAGCCCCACTGGGCCGCCCGCTACTCCGTCTCTGCCCTCCTTCTCTGGCCCGCAGCGCTGGGCAGGTTGAGTCCCTACCCAGGGTATCTTGTCAGAATATGATCTCCCAAGTTTGTCTGGGATTGGGGGGCTGGCGGTGGCGGTTGGGACTCAGCTTATGGCAAGTAGCCCGGATAAAGAAAGACCCCAACCACTGTAGGAACAATGCGATGGTACTTTGCTCAGCACGGAAAATGGGTTGAAAGCAGTGCAGAACTCTCTTTTAGCCCTTGTCATTTCATGCTATTCAGAACAGTTTAAAGTTTAAGCACTAACATGTCTTATTCAGCAAAAAGGGAACGGTTCGGGGAAAACATAGCAATTGAGTTTTAAGGTCCTTGAAAAAAAATTTACCCCTATGAGAGATCTATAAAGAAGTTTCAGAAAATAGTTTACTCAGTGCTGGCTTATAAAATTATGTCATTGACAACATAAACACATTAAATACACATGATGTTTTTAAAGCCAACGTAGGGTTTACTTCCGTGAAGGAGAACATTCAAACCGCAGCAAAGCCTGGCTTTATTTGAAATGATTGGAACCAGGGCAAGTTTAGATCTTGACCTAAGATGCCAGAAAAGGGGTTTGTGACTCTTGAGGGAAACGTGGTGCTGAAATCTGAACAAAAATGTCAGGGCCTGAATACTATTTCCACTATTGCCCTTGCTAGTAGTTTTCACTTTACTGTCACAGCGGTGTCCCTGAGCTGCAAATGAAGAGTTTCGTTTTCATACAAACATAGAATTGTTGGAAGGTAAATGCTTATAAATGCGAGTCTTTGAAGTGCAGTTCTTTTGATGGCACTCTAACTTTATTCTTTGCCTTAGGAAGTTTAGCCATGGTGCCACCTAAGGATAGGGTTCTGAATTTTTAAAATTTTCTTCCTGAATAGTATTAGAAAAGTGTTCCTTTAACTTCCTGAAGGTAACTTTTTGGGAATGTTACTAACAATAATAGCAAATAGCAGAATACCTGTGAAATTAACATACACCTCCTTATAAAAGCAAAAATTGAAAGCATCCCATATACACACAAAAGAGAACGTCTCTTGATAACAGAATCAATTCATTTTCTTGTCATATGACAGCAAGCATGGACTCTGTAAACTTAATCATTTTAAAAATTTTCTTTCAAAGATGACTTCCTTTTCTTTCTCTCTCTTTTACTTTGCAAACTCCTTTAGTAATTGAAACTGATCTTTTATCTCAAAGCTCTTATTTAGTTTATATTTGTCTTTGTTTAACTAGATAGTGGTGGAAATTAAACAACTTTCATTTTCTTACTTGTTTTCTCTTAGGGATTTGAATGGAAATAACATCACACGGATTACTAAAACAGATTTTGCTGGTCTTCGACACCTAAGAGTTCTGTAAGTATGTTCTTCTGTGTTTTGGAGAATTCTCTTTTGTTTTTTAAGGTTGTGTATTTTGAATTGTTACTGATCTCAGTTTTAATAACTGTCTCAATGACAGAAACATAAAATTTTAAAAGGCCTTGGTTTCCTTTTTTTTTTGTTTATCAGTGTACTTCAATTTTAATAAAAATGTAGGCCTTTATTTTAAGGTTGGATGCAAGCCATAGAAACAGATAATGGAAATGACTTCAAATGTTTGCTATACCATACCGTAAGTGCCTTATGCATATAAAAATGTAGAATAGTTGCTTTTACAATATGAATGAGTAATGTGAGACATTTGATATACTTTTAGGATTTGAGATTAACTATAAAGAATTTAACTGGGCCTGCATTTTATTATTGCTAATATAAAAATGTTCAGAGTTTTCTAGCAAGCAACATGTACCTATATTTTGTAACATTAAAATCAAACAATCCAGGTTTTCGCAGAATTTTTAGTGGGAACTGTTTCTCTATAAAAATATGTTGGTCATATTTTGAATCGTTTCTTGTATTTTATATCTTTGCAGCTCTTATAAAATTGTTGCAGTATGATTACTTTTTTAATTAATGTGTTAAGTTAGTTGTGAATAAACAATCATTTGAGATTCAGTGTAATGTAAAATTGTTTTTACCTATAGATTTATAAATGTTTACATTGCAGTGCACATATACTTTTGATCATGCGTGTTCATTGTTCATTTTTGAAAAACTCATTTTTGGCCTTTATGAATTCTTCCAATTTCTGCCATATATCCATCAGTGAATTGAAGTATGTGTATGATGAATTATTGTATGTTGTTTCTTTCAGTTAAGAACTCACTTGAAAAACAGCCATCATAGTTGTAGTGTCATGGGTTACTTTTCAGGATATACTATAGTTGAAGGTTCTGGATTCTGACGAAATTTTGTGAGCAACTGAATTAGTATTTTTTTGAAAGTTTTGTGATGAGGATGCTATTTTCCTTCCCTGATTTTTCTCAGATATAACATTGTTAGATTTGATATTGAATCTCAAACCAGAGCAGTATTTAACTTCATAAAGGGACAAGTTTTCAGTTGCTGAACTGACACATTTTCAGATGGTGAGTGGTGACATTAAGACTCCTGTTATACTTTGCATTTCAGTCAGCTTATGGAGAATAAGATTAGCACCATTGAAAGAGGAGCATTCCAGGATCTTAAAGAACTGGAGAGACTGTAAGTATTTTCAATTCCAAACTTATGACGACATAACTATATTTTTAAAAATAGTTGCATTTCAAGGACTATGTCTTCAGTTCATGTCTTAGTATTTGTAAGTTTACGGAAACAAGAAGTTGATAAATTGATTTTCAAACTAATTTACAATTAGAAATAATAGAATTTTTGCATAAATAGTACTAACTTGTACAAATTCAAAAATACAGACTTACTTTCCTGAGACATTTACTTCCTTGGTAACCACTGCTTTGGTACTTTAGAGATGTACATTTTTTCTTATTTTTCATCTAGTTTGTTTTATTTGCTTCTGTAGGAAGAAAGGTGGTAATTTTATTTGCATTTATGGTGCATTATGGAAAAGAAGAGTTTTGCTGATAGTTATTTTAGTTCCCATTGCTATTGCTATGTGTGTCATTAGTGATATTTGAGGAAATATTTAAAGTTCTTAGTGATAAAGATTTGCTTTCTGATATTTAACACTTGTGGTGAATATTATTAATAACTGCTATTCACAGTTTTATTTCATTATTTTATAGTAGCTTTCTAAATTTTTTTTTGCTGGAAAAAGAATTTAGTAGAAATGGAAGTAAGAGTTATGTTATCAAAGCACATTATTTAACATTGATTGTTTTTTTCCAAGAAGGTCAAATGTGGACTTCAGGATTTAAAATACATTTTTATTTTTTCAGACACAAAATTTTATGGGTTGTTATATATTACTGGAGGACCATTATTATTTAATGCCTATAGTGTATATATACAAAAGACAAAAACCTCTGCTGAAATAATTAGATAAAATACACAGTTTGTCATTTGAAATATGAATTACATATCTCCATATGTCTCGATAATTCAAGTTTAGTAGCTTTGCATTTCTAAGGGCAAATATCAGCTCTCTTAAAAGTAGCAGCAATTATTTTAATGTTTCCATGCCTGCTTTAAGAGGCACTTTAGGTAAAAATAAAAATTTTATTTAAAATAAAATTTATTTATTTAAATAAATTTATTTATTTAAAATAGTGAAATATGAAGTTCATTTAGGGCATAGCACGTGCTCAGATTCACTGGGCCCAAGGGCAAAAGTTAATTCTGTGTAACTGTAAATATAAAAGCGGCTTGTCAATTTCTAAGGTATTTGTAAATATAGGCTACATTTTTATAACCTAAAGTAAAATTAAACAGAGATATCTAATTTATTTTGCTATAAAATTTTGTTCATGAATAATATTACAATATAGCGATATAATTGTGGAATTCAAAATAAATTTAAAGCCACTACTTAGAGTTAGTTTTGGGGAGGAAATAAAAATAAGTTAAATATTTGGTTAAGTTTATAACAAAGTTTATAAGTTCATAAGCTGTTTCTCAATATATAAAAATACTCTGAAAGTATTTATTCTTTGATATCTTTTATGAATAGCTAATTTCTAGTGAGAACTTGGCAAAAGTATTTTTAATTCATCCATTAAAAGCTAAGCATTAATATAATTTAAATGTTTAGTAAGATGAATAGATAATTTAAAATTATCATTTAAGCATTAACAGTTTTTTCCATGAGTAACTTTTATTTATTCATATGTATGTGTTTAGTAGTCACATATATACATTTTTCCATGTGAGAGAGAGAGAAATATATATGTATGTATATGTATATTTTTTTCTTAAACAACTACGATGTCATTGAAGGATTCTCAGTGGCTTTTCATGAAGTCTGTATTTTGTTTATATTGTAGTTTAAAATATTTTCAGAAACACTGGAACAAAACAAACTTTCTCATTTTTCAAGCCACTTTGGAGTATCATTTGAACTTTCATCTTGAATAAATGAACTTTTCCTAAAAATTATTAACCAGATACCTTATGATCTGAAATTCGATTAAAGTTGTAAGTAGGTACTATTTTTTGACTTTTACTTCCCCGGGAATGTCACTTCATCTCAGAACAATTTTCTGTTCTATGGAGATGCAGTCAGATGTTGCAGAGTGGGAGGAGGATTTGTAATTTTGAATGAAAACTAATATATATGCAGGACTTCTTTAAATCACCCCAGCTGTTGGCCAAGAGCAAATATTTCATATTTGTGAGGAAAAGCTGAGAAAATTCCTTTTGTTTACAACTGCCAAGTCCATCTGATGGAAGCACATTGTTATCTGACAGCCAATTCATCTCCTTGGGACTCTGGAATTCAAAACCATTTCTTAGGAACATTGTGGATACACTTTTCAAATATTTATTTCTTTAAATACATTAAATGGCAAGCAGTTTTGCTAAAGAATACATTCAGGTTATTGTGGAACAAACTATTTTAAATTTTTTTCAGTATATTAATTAAAAAAAAATTTTAAAAGCTACCCAGAGAGTTCTATAATCAAATTACTGTGGCCTTATAATAATATTATGGTATATATTCTTATTGTAGTAGGTGATGTCATTAACATCACACAAATTGCCTTTTTTTCCCCCGAAAGTTGAAAGAGACAATGTAATAAACAGGAAGTAATCAGTGAATTAACTTATAAATAATTATATCTTGTGTGAGTTTATATGTTTTTTTAGCAATTTAAATGTGAGTTTTAAATTCAAACTCCAAATTATGAAAAGGTGTATAAATGCAGGTTTATCTTGTGAATGCCATTTATACTGTATATATATAATATATAATATAGCAAGTTAATTTTCTTTCTTTGTATGAAGAACAAAAAATAAAAACATTAACTTTATTCATATGCAATTTATGGTTCTAAGTTATTTTTTCATTTAAAAATGATAAAATCAGAACAACTCCAAATATTTTGTGAGTATTTCAAAATTATAAGTTTTTTTCTTTTTATTTTATGTTGCTAGAGTTTTAACTTGATCAGAAAGAAGACATCTGAGAACAGAAGATAAGAGCTGTGCCTTTTAGAAATCCAACTTTTAATCTCTAAGTAACAGGGTCATGTGATTAGGTTGGATTTAATTTTAGTATAGGATGAGAAAATCATTATTGGTAAATCAAAGCATTATAGCTACAAAAGAAACACATTTTTTCCACTTCAAAGAATTGATGAAATACAAAGTTATCAGTCAAAATGTCAAGAAGTAGATGGGTATTGAAATCCTCCCTCCCTTCCTCCCTTTTCTCTCTCACTGCCTCCTTTCCCTTCACTTCCTTCTTTGTATTGTATAGAGAACAACAGCAGATGATATGATGATCAGAATGTGGTTATGAATCATTGTAAAAGGAATGAGTTTTAATCATGCCTACACACTATGAGCACACAGTACTTCCTGTTTTGACAATTTCCTACTTTATGCCCAGACCTAACATGTGCACTGCTGGATTCCCATGGATGCTCTGTGTTGCCGGTAGTACCTGCTTCTCTGAGATGAGAATGAAGCCTTGAGAATGTGCCTCATGTAGATTGTATTAACAGGTCTCATTGTTTAGTCAAATGTTCAAATGAAATCTAATATAGTTAAGTGACTAGATAGTCAATGGAAATTAATTAAGGAAAAACAAACTACAAATAAGCTACACTAAAGGAACATTTAAGAATTATACTTTATATTTCACGGAAGATGCCTGTGTATACTTGCAATAAAGTCTCCATGCAAAATTATTAATTCAAGGTATTTCTTGAATTAAAAATCAAAAAAATTTAAAAAATCACATTGGGACCCCTGACTTTTCTATGCTGGTGTAAAGTTATGTTGTTCACTTATGTCTTATGGGATTATGCTGCAGTCATTAAAGTTCTATTTTATGGCCACTTCAGTATTTCACTACTGCAGATCATCTGCTTTTGTAAGTTGCTGGATAATACAAATGCAAGAGTATGAGAAAGGTTTTGAAATTTTTTAAAGGTTGTCCAAAAGAAATTAGGGTATTTTGTCTGAAATACAACGAAACACTCAATGCAAAATAAAATGTGTATATGCCTAGGTTACATTAATGAGAACCAATAGCATACCATTGAAAACCTTGGATATTAGATATTTCATTAACTTCACAGTCATACCCTTGCAATAAGGAAATTGCAGAAGTGTTAAAGGCAAAGGCTTGGACTGCACTTTTTTTCCTACCAATAAGTTGTAAAGGTGTTCCTATAAGTCAATATTGCTTTAAACATTCCAAGTTTTGGTATCTTTGGATTTGAGATTACCTTTTTTCTACTAACTTTGTCATTTGATACTCATTTTTGGTTGAAAAAAAGAGTCCTGAAAATATTATTATAATGAAGCCATGCAAAGCCTGTTCACTTAGCTATTTTAAAGTTTCTATCAAGTAAATACAAAGAAAATACTCATTTTAATTTAGAAATGTCTTTACAATACAGCCTAAATTTGATTAAACACTATCCTCTCCTTAAAGGATATCTAAAAGGCACATGTACTTTTTGAAGGTGGTGCTGAGTTATTTCTCCCTGGGTGTGCATACCATGCGTAGGCATGAGACAGCCAATGTGAGGCTGAGGAACTACGGCACTCTAGAATTTTTGTGGTAGGTCGCTATACATGAGTTCAGATAGAGAATATGTTGTGGAACAGGTCTGAAGGAAGGCTCCCCTTATCCCCTGTTCATCAAGGTGGAGAATCCCTCTTCTGACTCATCCTTCAAGTTTATAGGCAACACATAACGTCCTTTTTCTTGAAGTAAGGGCAAACTAACAGTGCTAATCTCCTTGGAAAAGAATGCAAGCTCATCTTAAAAGAATTGTTCTCTGGCACCTTTATACCCAAGTTTAAAATCGCGGCAGTTATTTTCTTGGGAAAAGCTCTTTAAAGAACATCTCAAACTCAGCAAAGAGGCTCAGTATGTACATTGTATGAGATAAATCATGCACCTAGATGTTCAAGAGTGTACCACTATCTGTGACAGCCAAATATCAAATTATTTTCACCTGTTTGTAAGCAATATTGAACGATTTTAAATTACATTTACTGACTATGATTAGAAGGCTTTAATGCAAGCGCACTATTAGAAGTTTTGCAGAACATTCAATCTGTCTGAGAGG